TTTATATACGTAAAACGCTAAAAACCGTGTAACTAATACTGCAAAGGTTGTCTTTATTCCCCGGAAGAGCGCCTATTGTTTTTCTCATGTATCAGCAACCGTACCCAGATAGGTTTATTCAATTTCGTCTGCTATTTCTACACCAATCTGTGATAGTCCACAGCCTGGCTTCGCAGACTGACACATCTCAGTACACTGTCAAGGTGAATTACTTTTGTTTGCAGTTGTGACAGACTTCATTGGTCGAATCACGCATTAGGTTTTACTAGGCCGTATAGAACGGGTTCCGATTTCCCACATTAATGTGAAAAGAGCGCGATGCGGTTCCGTAATCCGGACAACGTTTGGTTATCCTTCCAACTCATAGCAGTGGAGGTTGTGTAATAGTCACACCCTGCCACTTGCATGTGATCCAATGCATGCTGTGTGGCGAGACATGATTGAAAACCTGTTCACAAGGTTTCTGTGGCTTTGTACCAACAACTTGAAAAATAACGAAATCGGCTTCGTGAAGTTTTCAGAATCGCTGGTGAGTGAATCAATAGACGAATCGAACACATTCTGACTGAGACGATAGGCGATAGGCCTATTATTCACACAAATTCTCATCATCTGTCTCAACTATTTTTACCTTTAAATATTTTCACAACAAACATAGCTGCAAACCTCCATGTTATCGCCTGCTCCATTCTTCTCGTTTCAACGCTCAACCCGTTTGGATACTGACCCACTGTCATCACTACCATACAACCACATAAACTGGGGTTAACTGCCAGATGCTTATTCCATTTTCCGTCTTTATGTGTATTTTAATGGCTGTGTCTATGTGCGTCCCTGGTGAATAGCGTGATGTGGTTGTCTTTTGAAAACTAAGTCTTGGGGTTGCCGGTAAACAACTCTGTCAACTAGACTCAGTACAAATTGCGCATGGGTAACGCCTGATGATGGCTCGTTTGCTCAAGCCATCTGAAAATGCTATAGCGCAGCCATATTCACTTCGAACAATGCTCGCAACAAAAGATCCTTTAAAGCAAACTTTGCTGTTGTGGTTGTTGACTGGTTCGCCGAACCTAGCAGTTAACTTGCGTATGTTTTGTCACCAAACGAGAAGATATCGTCAGTGCGCACTGATAATGTGTCTCCAATTAATGACGCAACGCTAGTCCGGTAATTATCAGGCTTGACGCACGGATCAACCTGATCAATAAATGCATTCATCCCGGCTACCGATATTTTGACATGTTGCCTAGTTTCATTGAGAAAACCCTTAGGATTCACAGTGTGTACACCCTATCACACGTAGTGATGACCAGTTAACAGCCTACTGTCCGACTATCATCTGTTGAACACTGATCGTTTTCGGATTTAACGACTCCACTTGCAAGCGGATTAATTAACTAGGGCGAAGTCTGAAGGGGCGAACAAAACCGATTCAAAAGTTCGAGCGGTTATCAGAACCATGGGGAAAACTTTCAGTTTCATCTGGAGTTGAAGATCCTGCAGGACCACCTGATTGTTTTCATGTTAGAAGGCAATCGTCGGTTTCCTCGTAGTTGATACCCTCTAAAATGTACCTTGAAGATATCGCAGCCATAAGATTTTACTCTGTAGAAGGGCGTTTGAGTTATTTTCTCAGGACTGAATAGCCAAGGTTGTGTTGCACAACTTGGCAGTAATCTTCAGCGACAGTCTACCATCAATACACGGTACAATCTGGCCAAGCCACCAGCAGGTGAAAAGTTTCGTGACCTGTTTGTATTTCAGTGATACTGCGATTTCGTCAATAGATAAATTTAACAGCTTGAGAGCTACCCAGAAGTCTTTGACCGGTTTTGGGGATCTTCACTTAGTCTGTGAGGGATGCGAATACCTTATTTTGCGTGACGTGACATTTTGGCGGCTAGGCAAATTAACACCTATACAACTCAGCTGTCACCGAACGTTCCAGTTCAATACTAGTTTCTGATTAGTACAGTCGGATCAATAATGTTTCCAAACGCTTCAAGGCAGATTGCCTGGGTCTCTGCAATATAAATGAGCCATGGGACCACTCCTTCTATCGTAGGTTCACCTGTCAAACCAAACCACATACCAAGGGGAGTTCGCACTTCCTACATGGTAAAAAGGCATTCAGTGTTTTCAAGTGTTGGTACCAAATTTCCTCAATTCTTACAGCATGTTTCCCGCCGGTCTGATGGTAAATTTCGCCAGATGAAGTAGTTCTTTTAGATGGGGACATCCATATTCTGGGGAACAGAGTCTCCCATATAACTATACACATGCATAACATTCTCTATAATACTGTTTTCACTAAAGTGACTGCAACAGAATCTTGACCCTTTCTTTTCTCTACATGGGTCTCACTACCCCAAAACCAACAAATACTTACTTTTTTGTGAACCTGTCCTCAACGGCAATTGCAGCGTTTGTGCGGCAATGCTTGATCAAAACCAACGTATCGGACTGACGGAACAGAAAAAGGCGAGAAAAGCAGAGCCAAATATTATTAGTAAAGATAAAATTCATTCGAAAAGATTACCTTTCAAGCGCGTCACCATAAAAATGACGTGAAAAAATGGAAGGAGGATCAAATATTCGCAAAATTCACATCTGATAACATACAGTAACATCCCGGTCGTGCTCGACTGAATGACAACAGCATGAGTGGTTGAACTAAATTTCGGACAAGATGGGGGATAATCCATTTGGTTTGCTTCGAACTGTCTGCTCACTTTGGGATACTACATATCGGATTCATAGAAGAACGGATGGGATGTGCTGGACAAAATGAGTGTTATCAGAATCTGAGAAACCCATATGGACAACAATGCTGCATGCATTCGGAAGTGCTAACAAAAAGGCGTTGACTACTCCAAGTTGTTCAAGTTTCAAGAAATTCTAGAATGAAGTTTCTAAAGAGTAGGGTTAAACTAAATGGATAAACGTAGATTCGAATTATTAGATGGCTTTGAATTTGGCTTCTCAAGAAAATCAGTTTTTTTTCATGAAAACATAACCCATTTGATTTCAATTGTATTATGTAGATTGTAGTTACAGAGACAAGAGGAATGAAAATTCGAGAAAAATATCACTGAGGTTTAGTTACCCAGGGGGAAACCTTGGTAGTTATTAATGAGCATGTTGTCCTGTGGCTTTCAACCAATCCCGTTCAACAAATCTCTTTTTCCTGGACCGTACTGGAAAGCCTCGTTTCTATGCAACAAACATGCATTTGTTTCTGAATGAGCTTGTCAACAAAGAAGGCTGAAATGCAAATCGCACCCTCACATATCATGTGTGCTGAACTTTGGATTGTTGGTCGACGGCGCTCGGTCGATCGACAAGGTCACCCACCACATACCTGTCTTGATTGGAATTTCAAGGCGCATTTGATCGACAAGTGATTTTGTTCGGGTCGGCTACAAATGATGAATAATCGCATATTCCGTGAAGAGAACTAGGGTGACCGCAGACCAGAGTCGTTTAAAAACGAAACTCACCGGGCATTCTATTATGCTCAAGCTAAAATAGTCTTCAAAGAGAAGAAGAGCAGCAAACTCTGCGGAACTTACTTTTACTGGACATCCCTCAGACTCCATACGTAGATCTGGATTTTGGTGCTCGATTTTCCAGTGTGTCAGGAAGCTGTCTTTGTCTGTCGTAAGGAACACACGTTGATGTCCGGACATTCGATTTGCGCTCATTGGCGACGCGTTGTCGCTGGCCAGGTAGACTCGTTCGGGACCAATATTTGTATTTGCCAAACGGAATTGTATCGGAATTCCATAGGTAACCACACAATCGTCCGGAAGTGCCTTTGGGCTGGTGAAAAAGGAAATCCTGTTTATCAAGAGCGCGAAGAATTTAAGACATAGTTCGTAAATCCTGGGGGCAGTAGATGGACACAGGAAGAGATCTCTGCTGTCCACTCCTACGAAAACCGGCTGATTAGTAAACACAGAAGTTTTGTCGTTGTTGTGGGCCTTTTGCGTGAACGCGCATTCAGCAAAAAGCCCTCAGCAGTTGATGATAGACAGTTACCAAGACTTTTGTGGCACGGTTCACGCGGTGTCGGAAAGCCAGGGACACCGTACAACAGTGCCCTTCTTGTTGAAAATCAATAACAGTATGCTACCCCGGAGCCCTCTGTATTTCAGGTCAGCACACCATCCTTCAGCCTCTGGCAATTGTTCAGACAACTGCTTGACTTGTGTTGACAGATAAGGCACCGCTCCACCCAAGCAACTCTAGCATCCTAGATCCTTGAGTAACTGTTTTTCAGTCTGTTATTATCTATGAATGATTGTGATCCACCTCAGCAGAAAACTTCGGTCAATACCAGTAAACAGGCACGTATATTCTATTCGTGACCTAAAACATGCGACGAAAAACACGGATCAGATTACACACTTCTTGACCACAATTAAAAGAATCGCGTTGTAAACAAGCGCTGTTTTCATCCACCGTTTTCTTGTCTACATTGTCAACCAAGCGTGCTAGTTGATTCAAAATCAGAAACATGCTTTTGCAACAACATCTGTGCGCGAACAGCATGGTTAAGTTGGTAAGAGCCTCGAAACTAAGCTGAATCGACTGAGTAAAAACGACTGTTTGTTGCAATTAAGGCGATGTAACTGTCAATCCAAACTTTTACTCGCGCCGATGTCGCGTATAATTAGAAACTGCCTCAGTGCGCTGTCCAAAAGTGTAACCGGATCAGAGCTTGTTTTGCATATGTACATGCAGCACCGTTTGAATTTGTGATTTATGTGGCTCGTATGCTCCGTTAAAATCCACTGCAGAAATATTAGGAACTCATTATATACCTGTAAAAATGAACGGATGTCCTCCCATCTATTTGGTGAGAGGTTTCGAAATTCGGAACATATATCATTTGTTAGAATCGCTCTCAAGTCCACTTTGGTAAAAACTCAATATAGCTTGACGAATGTTTGGTTTTTTCGGAGAGCCCGCCCTTCGATTTGACGTTTGAAAAAGGTTCGTTGGTTCATACCACTGGCTAATCCATCGATGTCATTGGTGAACCGACAAGCCGTAACGATTGGTTGCCTTCTCCGTCATGCCAAATAAAGGGTGCCACGTCAGGCACGTCAGTCTCTTTCTAAAATGGCTTCCATGCTTTGGTTCTCTCTCGTTTCAGTGGAGAGTTTTGGGCCATCGACCTTATGGAAGGCGGTGGTTTTGTGAGCATCAGTGATAAGCGTTTTGACGTTAACTACCTAACCGGTGTCTTTGAGATTACTGTGAGTCACTGCTCTTAGCAGACCTGTACCGTATCAGCGTGACATAGTGGCACCACAGAATAACTGTTCCAAGAAGTGAAGTAACCGAAACACACGGTACACCTAGATTTTACAGTTTAACACTGGAAATCCAACAAAGATAGGAGCACATTCTGGGGCAACACACTGCACAAAATGTCCATTTTTGGCAGATTTCAGGGTGAATTATCGTTGTGTACATACACAGTCGTCAACAAGATAACAATAGGCTTGACAGGTAGGATCTCACAAAAATGATCCAGATATCATATCCAGTAATTTGGTGCTTAATACCTTATTATTTGACTAGGGTAAACTAGATGCATCAATAATCTGCTGATTCTTCGTGGAAGAATTGTCCACACCCGATTGCCAAGCAACACCACCTGAAGTTGTAAACTGCACTAAAATCCAGATGACAGATTCCAGGTAGTGTCAGGGAACTTCACCAAACAGACAGAAAGGCATTGGTTCTTTCGGAATTTCGCATTTGAAAGGATATTCCGGCAGCAAATCGTCACATTAAATTTGGACCCTTTTAAAGCAACTTCTAAAACTTTCCAATTTTCAGAGGTCCCGGTATTTTCTAGATGGCCTCTAGATTAAATTCCCGCGTTGGGTGAGCTTATCAAACAGTTATAGATGATTCCGTGTCAAACTGAGACGTCGTGAGAGGTGTAGAGCTCCTCGGGTTTGATGCTAGAGGTGAATATTCTTTGGACCATTCTAGCTGGAAGCCGACTGATATTTGGATTTCTTGCTAGGGATCCGACGAAAAACGCCCGAAGGTTTTAACCTGAAAATATATGGAATATAATGACGAAGGTAAAATTATTTTCGAACAAAAATTCTGTGAACCATAAATCGGAAGTAGCAGGATAAGTAGCCTGGTTATTCACCAGCGGCTGCTCGGCGAAGTCACATGACCGATTCAAATAAGTCGATCCAAAAGTCATTTATGAGGGGAAAAGATCTTGAATCGCTGAGGCTTAGGGTCTGATTGTCTCAACCAAAATGTGGTAAAATTTTAAGCCCAAGGCAAGCCAAGCATAGGTTTCCATGTAAGGATCGATGACGGTTTGGGGAAACTGGCCTACTTGGCACAAACTAAAACACTGCCTGACTAAGTCAGGAGAACTGGTATCAAATTGTTTGTGGGAGAATGGTGGCCAATATGTCCCAGGTCCTTGGACCGATAAGTGTATGACTTTTCCGGATGGTTTACCATGCCAGCGGCGAATTCCATTCGAAGACAATCAACAACCGATCTATCGAAAACAAACAGTTCGATACATTGGATCAATCATCTGTTCTCGACTTGATTCAATTCGGACTAACGAATAGTTAGTGGTCGAATTCACTGACTGCGAGTACAATCAGGTCACAGTGACAGCCGAGTCTCCAATTCAACCACGTGAGGTATGAGGAAGATAAGCCTCCCTTATTCTTCGTATCCAAACAGAAACCATCTAATTTCTTCGCAGCGTCCGGTAAGGACTATAGAAAAAATATCTTCGGACAAAAACCGAATCATGATGTTAACAGATCCAGATTCAGGAACCATGTCGCCCATCGTCTCCAATTCACCTAGCCAGACAAGAAGTAGGACCAAGAAAATGCTTGTCAGACAGGACTGTGAATGGTGTCGCCACAAAGAAACCACTTACGAAATTCTACGGAAGAAGCTTCGGAAGGGCTATGCCTCAACTACTCCGAAAAGGAAGAGGAAGGGACATGTTTCAATAGTGACCAAATTCACAACGGACCGCTAACTTCTGTACTGCATCTGTACTTACGTCGTCATCACCATCATCATCATCGACGGCGTGACTTCAGTGTTCAAAACCGATGCTTCGCTGCCGATGAAGAAAACTGTCGACATTCTCCTTGACCAATACAAGTCCATCTCCACTAACCCATGTACCGTTGTGAAACATGAATACAGAACACATGCCCACTGAGAAAGTCTTGATCATACCACATTTTCCGAAAACAAACACACACCACAGGAGGGATCTTTGGGCAATCACACAGTGGGGTCTGGGGATACTTCACAATCGCAGAATCCAGCGAACACAGTAAACAAAATCCCAGGATTAATACGACTTTCCCTCGGGCGTTGAAAGGTCCTCTAAGGTCACGATTTTTTTTAGCTTCAATCAGACCGTACGTTAAATATGTTCACTTATGAAACCCATGTCTCATAATTGATAAAAAATATTGAAAATTTCCGCTGATTCGCCCTCACTGTCATCCAAAGTTCCTTGAGACTTTCTATGCGTCCACCGTTTGCAATCACTTCAAATATACTCTGTGGCCTTCAAGGGTCTAGAGATGCTTATGCCTCACTGCATTTAGCATTGGACGTTTAACCGGTTGACAGGGAAGCCCCAAGTTTCATAGTATTTGAAACTCCGCACCCAAAAAAGTTGATCATTTTCGTGTAGACTCAGCGCTTCGATGACAATGGTGACAACAGAGCACAAAGTTGGAGGATCACAATCATCATCAGCATGTGCACTGTGCTCATCACCGTCATGACAAACAGCGCTAATCTTTATATCGCTAATGTTGTTGTCGTCATACAACAAATGGGGGTCTTGTCAATGCAATCGTGACTTCCTTTTTGTGGCATATACACTGCTTATTCTCCCGTTTACTTTTTTTCTGTTCGGCTCTTTGTCGGATTTACAGACGATCTGCTGCGTAACCCGACAGGTGATTTCTTAGGGAGCTGGCTCGTTTTCTATCCAAAGAATAATTATGCCAAATCCCACGATGCACGACATTTGCCTTGTTTCAGGGTGATTCCTGGGTTACTTATCACGATAGGATAGGCTACTTTCAAGGCGCTATCATAAGGGCCTGCTTTTCATACTTCGATATCTTGCTCTCATACTCATCAAAATTAAAGAGTTGAAGTAGTGATCTTCAGTCAGGAGCGTCGTCGAAGTGCGAAGATATTGTGGTCATGACAGATGCCATCCACCCATAACCATAAGGAGCCACTTGTTATGCCTCAAAAGTTCATGAGTCGCACATATTTCGATCGATCAGTTGGAAATGTTGCGAAATATGATGGGCTGGTTCATGTCAGACGTGCTGTTATCCCCATAAAATACTATTCTATGGAGACCTTCAGTCATGAAAAAACATCATAGGCTGCCATCTTCACACACACTGCTTTTGCTACAAGTTCCACCCTTTGATTTTGACAGGACGGCTTTCAGATGACAAATGCTGACGGTGAAGGACAGTTTGGCGCAATCAGTAAATTCCTTTATTGTGATTAAACTATACGTTCGCATCTCAAGTGCACAGATATCCCTACAGTGACTAACAATAGTCAATCATCTTAAAGTAACCACTTCGGATCCTTTTGAGCCAAGAACAGTGGTTTATTTTCCTCCTTCCCACATGATGCACGTCTTTGTCTATTTACAACGAACGTCTCTTCATTTTATGCCATACTTTCGGCAAGGATCGGACATTTGGCTCAATTGCTGAGGCTTCTAGTGCTTCCTTGACTATCTACCAGTT